CTTCTTTTTATTGCTTTCCATAACCATTGGATACCAAAACTATTTACACACAAGGTTTTTAATTAAGATATTTATGTTTCCAAATGGCTTATGGATTTTTTAACTCAGGTTTCAAATATTATTTGTCTTAATTGTGAAATGACAGCAACATTTCACCTTTGTGAAAATTTGTCTTCTATGAAATCGAGGATTCTGGAGATTTTTGTTGAATTTGTTGTGAATTATACAAATTGAATTAAATTGAATTGATTAAACACTGATTCAGGCTAAAAAGGACAGATTGATCGTCATCGAATACATATTTTGAATGCACTTTCCAGGATCATCAGCACTGGTGGTCTATAATCTCTAAAATAAGCTATATCATCGCTTTTTGTCTGCATCACACTGCCAAATACAGCAACCACAAAAGATGCTGACAGCATAATCATCCAACTGTGAAAGATCAGCTTTATCCTTGCCAGAAGAAACTTGGGTACACTTCCAACAATACAGCAAACTACAGTGTATGTTTTTTCCAAACTTCACTGATCTTGGTTATGAAGTATCATAAATATTGAAAATGAACCAGGCTCATTCTTAATGTATCAGAATTTGTTTACTGTATATCTGAAATATTGCATTTTGTCTCTCTGCAGAATCATTAAAATAAACATCCTATTAACTTTGAAACATTCAAAACTTAAGTGTATATATACACTTGTATTGTCAAAATTTTGAAAAACTGATGTCTTCTTAAGAGTGTAAACCTTATCCTCAAAATCCTATGCCCCATCATCAATAACATTTGCCAAAAAAATCAGGAAAATATACTCCATCATCAATAACCTTTTCTCCAATGTCAAAAAATATTCTCCATTATCAATAACCTTTGCTCCAATGTCAAAAAATATTCTCCATTATCAATACTATTTGCCCCAATGTAAGGAAAACATACTCCATCATCAATAGCATTTGCCTCAATCTCACATGACATATGTTTCATTGTCAATAACGTATTGTCTTACTGATACACATGTATGTCATATTACTAATTTATCATGATTGCCTTTTTATTCAGTAAATATACCCATGTCATATAACATGTGTAATATACTGAAACATTGTGACGTCATTTTAGATATAACATCATACATTCTCAGATTAACATAGCAAGGGAGACTACAGATATTGAGCAGACCTGACATAAAGTTTGACGCAGAAATGTCCTTTTTCTACCATATTTGCTTGAAAAATTAATCATGTGATAAAAAGTATATTCGATAGATCTTAAATTAATATCCATTTAATATGTGATTTATAGATGTCTTCATGAATTTTTCATTTCAGCTTGCCAAAGGCTTGTTAAAATGAAAAACTTCCGACTCCTTTCATAAATTTACATATTAAATAGAAACTCATGAAAGATCCTAAATATACATGTGTATGGTATATCGTTTGTTTTCATTGTTTATGCCCCATGTACAGCCAGCGTGATTTTAAGGTTGGGGTTCGTAGTAGCCGCAGGCTATCTCAATTAACAACATATAGGAGGCCCGTTATATGGTATCCAGACCAATAATAGTAAAGATTCTTGGGCACATGGACGCATCAGCACAGAATGGTCTGTTTCTCAGCTTTTATAGTATTGGGGGCACTCACTCACTAGTAATTTTGTTATTCCTAGTTTCGTTCCATTTTTGGGTCTTAATTCCTGGGGAATTTTTCCCCCAATACTTTTTTAGACTTATGTTTTATTATGACTGCTTATCAACTTGTTTTTATAGCATTTTCATTTTAACTAAATTTACTAGCCTCTTGAATCGCTCAAGAGTGCTGTCTTACCAGCTCTTAAATTACTTATGTCTATTTCTCTTGAATCGCTCAAGAGGTATTAGTATACCAGCTCTTAAATCGCTTAAGTCTGGTTTTCTTGAATTGCTCAAGATGCTCTTAGCTTTTAAATCACTTAAAAGCTTCTTATACTGTATATAGTTAGCTTATTGAGTGAGTAGCCCCTGATACGCCAAAGTTAAGTTTTGATTTTCATTTCCTTTTATGCTATCATCTACGGCATTGTATATTCTTCAAGTGTAATAAACAGGTAACTGTTTTCAATGCGTTTTGGTTGTGTATAAACACAGAATGGTCTGTTTCTCAGCTTCCTGAGGAACACAAACCACCACTGGTAGGAAGCAATAAACTACCTCAGATCTCCACCTGCAGTTACATAGGCTAAAGCTCTAACTGTCGGGACCTCCACAATACAAGTATATGTGTAAGAATTGTTTTATATAATTTATCATCAATAGAGTGTATTAAATTACACATAACACTGATGCTATACAATCTATGTATTTATGATCAAAATGTATGGTAATTTTATGATGTGATACTATATGTCTTTGAGGAAGATTCTGTTTTAATTCTCACTCTAATAAAGTCAGATTATATGGTATTCATATTATGTTAAGATGTGAACAAGGCCAGGTACTTATAAAAAGCACTTTGTAAGTAACATGCACCATATGGCCCGATAATAAATAGACAGACCAGCAGCCTTTCATTTTATTGGAAAAGGTTGTAGGGGGCGACAAATCACAAATCACTATACTTGGGTTTGGTATGATGTTAAGCTTGAAAACTGTCCAGATTTCTCATATAATTGTTATAAAATACTCAGCATATTGCAGTCTCTTTTTACAGTCTTGGACAAGGGTAAAGCACAGAGAATATAACATGGTACATTTACAAACTTTACCCAAGAGAAATTTAAGGTATCAATTTCAAATTTTAAAAAATCTGATTCAACAAGGAGCTGTAGATAGGCATTGATTACAACTATGTTCAGAAGTTACACCCGGGATTTTGCCTATAAACTGGTCCTCAATTTTTTTAATACAAAAGGAGAAGGTAGAATACTTTGTGCTATGTGGACAAGTGGAGTGTCATGCCGTGTCAAAGTTGTATGACATTTCAGAGTCATTAGCAGGTACACTTAAAAATGTTTTGAAGTGAACAATGAACAGTCTAAAAGGACAAAGACATGTAGTAATATTTTTATCATTTCCATTTCTGTCAAAATCAGTGTGTGTCAGCTGTTTTTCTAAGTTAATTGGGGATAATGAAAGGGAGGCGAGAAGGGTTAATTGTGGGGGAATTAGAACTTCATCACTAGTTCGCCATCAGAAATCATTTCCATAAACAATCAATATCCTGTTATGTAAAAGTAAACAAAATTATTTCTTTTTTATGATAAAATAAATATTCAAATCACTGGAAACTAAGGGGCATTTCGAGGTTCATTGAAAATTATGTTTTTTTTCATCACAAGTTAGACTAAGCTTTTGCTATCAGCAATTATTTAGTAAAAGAATAAATATCAAATAATTTGTTTGAAATCGGGCTGCATTATGTGGCTATATAGAAATAATAACCCTGCTTCCTGACGATGCATAATAAATGTACACACATCATTATCATAACTATCATTTTAATGGGCTCCAGTGCAGAACTATCATTTAAATGGCCTGCTGAGCATAACTATCATTTTAATGGCCTCCTTAGCATAACTATCATTTTAATGGCCACCTGAACATAACTATCATTTTAATGGCCTCTGAAGCATAACTATCATTTTAATGGCCTCCGAAGCATAACTATCATTTTAATGGCCACCTGAGCATAACTATCATTTTAAATGGCCTCCTGAGCATAACTATCATTTTAATTGGCTCTTATGCAGAACTAGCATTTTAATGGCCTTCTGAGCATAACTATCATTTTAATGGCCTCGTGAGCATAGCTATCATTTAAATGGCCTCATGTGCATTACTATCATTTTAATGGCTTCTTGAAGTAAGAAATGACACATCATTATTGGTAAAACTGGACATTTACATTTAGCAAGGCTTGTATTCCCTGAGCTGAAGAATTTCTTCTACTTATATCTGATGCTGGAAATATCACAAAGTAAAGGATCTCCTACTGACTAGCATTTTCAAAGCTATCTTTTAATGGCCTCCTGAGCATAACTATCATTTTAATGGCCTCGTGAGCATAGCTATCATTTAAATGGCCTCATGTGCATTACTATCATTTTAATGGCTTCTTGAAGTAAAAAATGACTACATATGCCCAAATATCATCTTGAAAAGGTTTCTGAAATTGACCAATTCTCATTACATAATTGTCAAATCATAAGGAAGTATACAGCCTTGAATAGATTCCTCAAAAGCTATTGATGGAAACCAGTTTTCAGAATACACTTTGACATTCATACATTGTATGTGAATACCAAATTAACAAAATTTGTACCTATGACTGATAACTTTCATCCAAAACAGACATTTCATTTGATTCTGAGAAGTGCTTGACATTATTCCTAATACTTTTAAATATTTTGCGATGGAATTATAATACCGGTACTTGCGGAGGAAAAAAAATGGGAGTCTACTTAACTAAATCTTAGCAAAATATTGGAGAATATTTCTCTAAATCTAGGTCAAATTTGATGGAGACTTCCTTCCCAAAAGACCAATTTCTCTTCACTAGATTTATGTCAAAATGAATTTTGCCTTATTTGAATGCTGTTTTTGTCTAAGTGAATTGTGAGAAAACTTTAATGCTTTTGTTGTTTAAGTGAATTTTGCCTAATTTGAATGCTTTTGTTGTTTAAGTGAATTTTGCCTAATTTGAATGCTTTCATATTTCATCACCAATACTGAGAATGTTTTGATTATCACTGAGCATCATATTTTATAAACTTTATGTAAGTCTTGACTGATAATACTTCATCACCAAGATCAGTTCTGTGTTATCTGAATATAGACAGCATATGTAGAGGATGCAGTGGACGATCTGTACAGTAATGAAGAAACAATGAGAGATTCTGGTCCTTGACCAATCTGTTGTCCAAATTCTCCTGCATCAGCCAATCATCTGGTGACCACTTGCAAATGTGTTGTCATGACTACATCATCAGCTTCAGAAGTTCCAACTAGGAAACGTCTCAGCTATGTTCAAGAGTCACCAGAGGTGGCCTGTATGCCTGAATGAAATGTAACCTTTTTAACGTCAGATTTTTCCATTCTAGATGGACCAGAATCTTCATGTTGTCCAGCTTTTTTCCTGAAAACAACATAAAATAGATTAATAAATTAGCCAATCATTTGGCGACCACTAGCAAAAGTGTTACCATGACTACAATTTCCATCAGCTTCAGAAGTTCCAAACAAGTAACATCTCAGCTATGTTCAACAGTCACAAGAGAAAAACCACACAAAATATGTTAAACGTTGTAATCTAAATAAACCTTTCTAAAACACTTTTGATGATTACTGTTCATTATAATTCTTTGCTAAAAAATGTCTTGCCAGCTCAGTCTCTGGCAATCACTTTATACCAGATTACTTCCCTTTTATCTCATCGATCATATCTGATAAGCTATTGATAAGGACAAAGCCTGAGTGAACAGTGTACTGAGGAAAATTCTTTCTAGGCATATTGCTTCATGTTCATCGGTCAAATATACCAATAAAGAAGAAATCTTATGGGTAGTGAGTGTCTCATACCAGAAAAAATGAAAACTTATTGGTAGTGAGTGTCTCATACCAGAAAAGATGAAAACTTATGGGTAGTGAGTGTCTCATACCAGAAAAAATGAAAACTTATGGGTAGTGAGTGTCTCATACCAGAAAAGATGAAACTTACCAGTAGTGAGTGTCTCATACCAGAAAAGATGAAAACTTATGGGTAGTTAGTGTCTCAAACCAGAAAAGATGAAAACTTATGGGTAGTGAGTGTCTCATACCAGAAAAGATGAAACTTACCAGTAGTGAGTGTCTCATACCAGAAAAGATGAAAACTTATGGGTAGTTAGTGTCTCAAACCAGAAAAGATGAAAACTTATGGGTAGTGAGTGTCTCATACCAGAAAAGATGAAACTTACCAGTAGTGAGTGTCTCATACCAGAAAAAATGAAAACTTATGGGTAGTGAGTGTCCAGAAAAGATGAAACTTACCAGTAGTGAGTGTCTCATACCAGAAAAGATGAAAACTTATGGGTAGTTAGTGTCTCAAACCAGAAAAGATGAAAACTTATGGGTAGTTAGTGTCTCAAACCAGAAAAGATGAAAACTTATGGGTAGTGAGTGTCTCATACCAGAAAAGATGAAACTTACCAGTAGTGAGTGTCTCATACCAGAAAAAATGAAAACTTATTGGTAGTTAGTGTCTCATACCAGAAAAGATGAAAACTTATGGGTAGTGAGTGTCTCATACCAGAAAAAATGAAAACTTATTGGTAGTGAGTGTCTCATACCAGAAAAGATGAAAACTTATGGGTAGTGAGTGTCTCATACCAGAAAAGATGAAAACTTATTGGTAGTGAGTGTCTCATACCAGAAAAGATGAAAACTTATGGGTAGTGAGTGTCTCATACCAGAAAAAATGAAAACTTATGGGTAGTGAGTGTCTCATACCAGAAAAGATGAAACTTACAAGTAGTGAGTGTATAATACCAGAAAAGATGAAAACTTATGGGTAGTTAGTGTCTCAAACCAGAAAAGATGAAAACTTATGGGTAGTGAGTGTCTCATACCAGAAAAGATGAAACTTACCAGTAGTGAGTGTCTCATACCAGAAAAAATGAAAACTTATTGGTAGTTAGTGTCTCATACCAGAAAAGATGAAAACTTATGGGTAGTGAGTGTCTCATACCAGAAAAAATGAAAACTTATTGGTAGTGAGTGTCTCATACCAGAAAAGATGAAAACTTATGGGTAGTGAGTGTCTCATACCAGAAAAGATGAAAACTTATTGGTAGTGAGTGTGTCATACCAGAAAAGATGAAAACTTATGGGTAGTGAGTGTCTCATACCAGAAAAAATGAAAACTTATGGGTAGTGAGTTTCTCATACCAGAAAAGATGAAACTTACCAGTAGTGAGTGTCTCATACCAGAAAAGATGAAAACTTATGGGTAGTGAGTGTCTCATACCAGAAAAAATGAAAACTTATGGGTAGTGAGTGTCTCATACCAGAAAAAATGAAAACTTATTGGTAGTGAGTGCCTCATACTGGTAAAAAGAAAACTTACCGAGAAAGAAGGGATTCCATTAGATGACTAGATTCTTCCAAACTGGAGTGGCTTTGTGCCATGATGTCATTAATCTCTCGCCTGTTGTCAATCAGTGACTTCATGCTGCAAACAAGGACAATATCATAAATGTTGAACAAATTTCTAAAGTAGTGGACATAATTCTGCAAAGCAATACAATGGTTATCACTAGTATTATCGTTTACTTACAGTGTTCTGTGGCATATTCTTACCTGGTTTTCTGTTATTCTAGTTGGTATCTCCTCGGCACAATAAACGGCTGATCTCGATAATCTCAGAGATACACTTTCCAATGTACGAGTTACTTAAAAGCAATAATCTTAGTTTCAAACCGCCTTTCGCACAGATAGTATTGAGATAAGTATGATTCCACTTATTGTAGTTTCTGTAAATTTTTGTTCATATATATAACAATAACCGTGGATGCACAACTTCATCATTGAGCAAATTTTTCCAAAAAGATATTGGGCTTGACTTTAAACAAGCCAAATTAAATAAAAGTATATTTATTGCATTTAAATGCTTATCTTTATCTATAACCATCGATAATGTGATAGACTTACTACTGTGTCTTGTGATTTTTAGATTAATTTTCACAGGAACATTTTTACTATTGACACAGAGAAATGCTAACTAATGACCTTACAGGTCTAACCAATTTGTCATCAATAAATTGGATCAGAAAAATACCTAGTTAAATAAATAGATTTATTAATCATTTATTGATGCCATAGGTAACTCTTCCTTTGTGCTACAGTCAGCAGAAGCACAATGTCTAGTAACACACAATGGTATAGCAAGTGTTACACAATAGTTCAAATGCTATTAGATACAAATGTTATAAACAGAAACAGTCACGTTAATCATGATACTCATTTGCTCTTAATAAAACCAGATATCAACAATCAAGTACAGTGTAATAGTAGTTAGCATGTAAACCCTTGCATTAGGTTTGTGCTTATTTTTGTTTGAAATACAGAAAATAAGGTACAATGAAAAATGAGACAATATGCATCATCATGATCATGACCAATTAATGAAATAAAACAGTGTTTCTTACTTCCTTTGGTCTTTTGGTAAATATGTAAGCCTGTATATATTCTTAGCTGTTCATTACGATGTCAATTTATTGTCCTGTAATAAGCCCGTGCTCTGACTTTGAGTCAGAAGTTACGCATTGACTCCCTGGGCTTATTAAAGGATAAATACGGAAAACAAATGACACATCAAATGCATCGTAAATTAATTTGAATAAGCTTCCTATGACCTCAGTCATGGTAATGGTGGAGACTGTTGTAATCCAGTTCCAAAAATGTGTGGACATCCTACCTGAGGGAGATTTTCTCCATACTGATGTTACTAAACGGAGTGCCAGATGACAAGGTGTCAATGGGATACATAGCTGATGCGCCTTGTGGAGCAGGGTTCGTTAAGCACTGCTGGGTAACTTCCCTGGCTTCATTAGCTATTTTCTTACATTCCATTTCCATCTGAAAAGTCAAATAACAGTAAGTACAGAGAGAAGTCCAGTCGAGGCAACAGATTTGTAGTCGACAGAGAGTGCTGATATTTGCTGGGTCCTCCGACATCCACTACTATCGTATGGACAGGGAAACATGTCTGTAATTGTATATCAAATAAACATCAACTGACAGTAACAATGGGGAGATATGCAGAGTACTAAGTACCGATATGAACACTTACAGATACTTCCCTACAGACATGCAAAAATATACAGAAGAAAAAAAGGTTAATTATGAAGGCTTAATGAAGTATCCACCCCTTTTTTATTTAACTTTTGTAGTATCAGTAGATACCAGCATTAGACAAAAGATTTCGCCAAAGGTCAAACTGAAAATTTGAAAACTCATCACCAGTTTATATCAAAAGTTACTAAGCAAAGGATTGCGACAAAGAAATCTTGTTACTTAAGAAATCAAAATACAGATCTAATGACAATCAATTCATTCAGATCTAACACCTGTAATGGATCCTCTCTGCGTATGAAGATGTATTGAACTGTTCTGTTTACATATGTTTTTTATAATCTTTACTGACCTTGACAATTCTTTCACTCAGCTTTTTGCGACAGTCCCTCACACTGCTGATGTTCTGATCGACTTTTTTAGTCCTTTGTAAATTTTTCAGAAGTAAGCTACAATAAAATTGTTTATTTTATTACAAATGTTTTCATCATTAAAAAGTCATTATTAAACTAAACATGTTTCCCCACAGAAACTAATATCACCCCTCCCCCAAAACCAGTGATATCTGCCTGCTGGCTAATGGTTAATTCATTCATTCAATATGTTTCACCATCATGAAAATTAAGGATCAAAAGTAACAGACATGAGATGTCTAAATTTACTGTCCCAAATGTCTTCTTACCATTCAGTTATCACAATAAATTTACCAAATATTTGCTTTTTTAGTCCACACTACTTATCCATCCATTTTTGTTGATGATCAGTATGTTATTGTGGGGTCAAAGGTCATCCGTAGAAAGATTACCTGATTTGTTTGGTGGTGACATCATACGTTTGAATGACATTGATACGACAATGGCCTTCAAGGATGGAAAGAAGTCTTGCTGAATATTCTTGTGACTTCAATCTGAGAGTGAAAAACAGGTTGTATTTCAGTAGTAAAAACAAGAGGCCCATGGGCCTTAACGGTCATCTGACAAAAAGCAAGTCAAACCTAGAAAGTGGTTGAGGTCATTCATTTGAACAAACTTGGAAGCCTCTCCTCCAAGCATCTTACAGGCCCAATATCAGCACTCATGGACTTTTGCTTGTTGAGAAGAAGTCGTTTGTATATTTTAACATATTTGACCCCTGTGACCTTGAAAGTGGGTTGAGGTCATTCATTTGAATAAACTTGGTAGCCTTTCCTCCCAGCATGCTACAGACCCAATATCGGCACTCATAGACTTTTGCTTATTGAGATGAAGTCCTTTGTATATTTTAACATATTTGACCCCTGTGACCTTGAAAGTGGGCCAAGGTCATTCATTTGAACAAACTTTGTAGGGCTCCATGCCAGCATGCTATGGGCCAAGTATTAGCCCCCTAGGCCTTCTAGTATTTGAGAAGAAGTTATTTAAAGATTTTGACATATTTGACCCCTGTGACCTTGAAAGTTGTTCAAGGTCATTCATTTAAATAAACTTGGTAGCCTTTCCTCCCAGCATGCTACAGACCCAATATCGGCACTCATAGACTTTTGCTTATTGAGATGAAGTCCTTTGTATATTTTAACATATTTGACCCCTGTGACCTTGAAAGTGGGCCAAGGTCATTCATTTGAACAAACTTTGTAGGGCTCCATGCCAGCATGCTATGGGCCAAGTATTAGCCCCCTAGGCCTTCTAGTATTTGAGAAGAAGTTATTTAAAGATTTTGACATATTTGACCCCTGTGACCTTGAAAGTTGTTCAAGGTCATTCATTTAAACAAACTTGATAGCCCTTCATCCCAGCATGCCACAGGCACAATATCAGCAATCTGAGCCTTTTGGTTATTGAGAAGAAGTTGTTTAAAGATTTTAACATATTTGACCCCTGTGACCTTTAAAGTGGGCCAAGGTCATTCATTTGAACAAACTTTGTAGGGCTCCATGCCAGCATGCTATGGGCCAAGTATTAACCCCCTAGGCCTTCTAGTATTTGAGAAGAAGTTATTTAAAGATTTTGACATATTTGACCCCTGCGACCTTGAAAGTTGTTCAAGGTCATTCATTTAAATAAGCTTGGTAGCCTTTCCTCCCAGCATGCTACAGACCCAATATCGGCACTCATAGACTTTTGCTTATTGAGATGAAGTCCTTTGTATATTTTAACATATTTGACCCCTGTGACCTTGAAAGTGGGCCAAGGTCATTCATTTGAACAAACTTTGTAGGGCTCCATGCCAGCATGCTATGGGCCAAGTATTAGCCCCCTAGGCCTTCTAGTATTTGAGAAGAAGTTATTTAAATATTTTGACATATTTGACCCCTGTGACCTTGAAAGTTGTTCAAGGTCATTCATTTAAACAAACTTGATAGCCCTTCATCCCAGCATGCCACAGGCACAATATCAGCAATCTGAGCCTTTTGGTTATTGAGAAGAAGTTGTTTAAAGATTTTAACATATTTGACCCCTGTGACCTTTAAAGTGGGCCAAGGTCATTCATTTGAACAAACTTTGTAGGGCTCCATGCCAGCATGCTATGGGCCAAGTATTAACCCCCTAGGCCTTCTAGTATTTGAGAAGAAGTTATTTAAAGATTTTGACATATTTGACCCCTGCGACCTTGAAAGTTGTTCAAGGTCATTCATTTAAATAAGCTTGGTAGCCTTTCCTCCCAGCATGCTACAGACCCAATATCGGCACTCATAGACTTTTGCTTATTGAGATGAAGTCCTTTGTATATTTTAACATATTTGACCCCTGTGACCTTGAAAGTGGGCCAAGGTCATTCATTTGAACAAACTTTGTAGGGCTCCATGCCAGCATGCTATGGGCCAAGTATTAGCCCCCTTGGCATTCTAGTATTTGAGAAGAAGTTATTTAAATATTTTGACATATTTGACCCCTGTGACCTTGAAAATTGTTCAAGGTCATTCATTTAAACAAACTTGATAGCCCTTCATCCCAGCATGCCACAGGCACAATATCAGCAATCTGAGCCTTTTGGTTATTGAGAAGAAGTTGTTTAAAGATTTTAACATATTTGACCCCTGTGACCTTTAAAGTGGGTCAAGGTCATTCATTTGAACAAACTTGGTAGTCCTTCATCCCAGCATGTCACAGGCCCAATATCTACACTCTGAGCCTTTTGGTTAATGAGAAGAAGTTGTTTAAAGATTTTAACATATTTGACCCCTGTGACCTTTAAAGTGGGTCAAGGTCATTCATTTGAACAAACTTGGTAGAGCTCCATGCCAGTATCCTCTGTGCCAAGTATTAGCCCCCTAGACCTTCTAGTATTTGAGAAGAAGTCGTTTGAATGAAAAGTTTACGGACGGCGCACGGCGCACGACGCACGGCGCACGGCGCACGGCGGACGACGACGGACGAAGCATGATAACTATAGGTCATCGGACCCTTCGGGTCAGATGACCTAATAACCAACACATTTGATATAAGCTGTATCAGTATCTTTCACCTCACAGATTTCATTTTCATTTCAGAAGAAAATGAAATGAAGAAACCCTGTATATATTTCCAAAACCATATACAATGTATTCACATACACATCATTATGATATAATAAACCTGCCAAATTTTTTGTGTTATTTTGAAGGTTTCCGTCAAATTGAAGGTGGTCCCCTGATGGCCATTTCATATATCTGATCAGTCCCAAAATGAAAACAGCAGCTAATGACTTACCATGGTTTCATACCTCCACCCTCCAAAGGAAATTACTCATCCCCCAGTTTCCAGGGGTTATAGCGATTCTTGTGTTGTAATGGTAATGTGAAGTATTATTCCCAAGCCTCTAAATAGGAGCCAATGTAACAGAGGCCGTTATTGCCTAAGGACAAACATCTGACACAGGGCAATTTAAACAGCCCAACATCTGGCGATGGTGGGTTAAAAAGACAGAACAAGATAACAAAATAGTTTCACAGGGTATAATCTCTTACTTCTGAGTGTTGTGTATGAATTCCTCCTCTGAGGCAAGTGTCCTTTGCTTTCTGTGTTTTGTAAACAAAGTCCAAATCTCCATCAGTAGGGTAACTAAATGACTGCTCTTTTGGACACTAAAAATAAAGTGTTTAAAAATCAGGAAATAATTCTTTAAAAATAATTTCTATGTTTCATTGTCTTGTAATTGATGTACTATTCAAATCAGAAAAGTTTCATAACAATAACAAATCAAATGAAAAACTCTGAAAAGAAGCTGTGGAGATTCATGATAATAACAAACACTTCTTATCAAATACAAAACTGAGGTTGTACATGTCTTAAGCAGATTCCAATTAATGATACTTTAGTAGGTAAGTAAAATCCTGCATCTTTACTGAACTGCTACTGTTGGATATCTCTTCAATCTTTAATCTTCTGGTTACATCTGGCAAATTGTTGCTGTGGGGTAAATTCCTTAACATTTTTGCGATTTGGTGAATCCTGCAAATCTTTGCTGAAGGGCCAATCCTATATTTTTTTGCTGTAGGAATATCCTGCTGTCAGCTAAATTCAAATCTGGCAACCTGCTGCTGTAGAGTACCTTCCACAACTTTATTGTTGTGGATAAATCTGGCAACCTGCTGTAGGGTAACTTACACAACTTTATTGTTGTGGGTAAATCTGGCAACCTGCTGCTGTAGAGTACCTTCCACAACTTTACTGTTGTGGGGTAAATCTGGAAACCTGCTGCTGTATGGTAACTTACACAACTTTATTGTTGTGAGTAAATCTGGCAACCTGCTGCTGTAGGGTAACTTACACAACTTTATTGTTGTGAGTAAATCTGGCAACCTGCTGCTGTAGGGTAACTTACACAACTTTATTGTTGTGAGTAAATCTGGCAACCTGCTGCTGTAGGGTAACTTACACAACTTTATTGTTGTGGGTAAATCTGGCAACCTGCTGCTGTAGGGTAACTTACACAACTTTATTGTTGTGGGTAAATCTGGCAACCTGCTGCTGTAGAGTACCTTCCACAACTTTATTGTTGTGGGTAAATCTGGCAACCTGCTGCTGTAGAGTACCTTCCACAACTTTATTGTTGTGGGTAAATCTGGCAACTTTCTGTTGAAGGGTAAATTTCACAACTTTATCATTGTGGGCTAAAGAAAGAAGTCTACATACCAATAGTCTTCTTCAGAGCATCTGGCATAACTGAACATGGCATCTCTCTCATGCTCTGCCATTTTTTCTACTAGAACTTTCATGTACACTTGAACTTCTTTGCAGCGGTTTACTGCCTGTAAAACAAAGATAGAATCAATCAAGAGTAATTTTAAAACAAGCATAAAACTTATTAAACAAGTTAAAATGAGAGTACAGAAACAAATGGAGGCAGCCATTTTTTGAGCCATTTTCAATTCATGACAAAATGTAACTGTCCATATTATGACATCACAATCCAGTCCTGATTGCCAGAACCAAAGAAAAACACTCTCAGGTATATTACAATAGTGAAAGATGTCAAATATATCATATTGGCAAAATCACTTCAGGAAAATATTTTAAAATCTTCTTTTCCAAGTATACCTTCTTTAAAACTTCTTTTGGTGATTCGTCGTTTAAGATTTGTCTCAGTTTGACTTTGGCTTTATTGAGCGTGGTACCATGGCTGTGGTTTACTTCTATGACTGATACGAGTTCATTCAAACATAAATAACTTTGGAAGAATGTGTCTTGATGCTTCTCATTTTCCTCCAAGTGTTCTGACATGTCAGGAACACAACTGTTGATACGTTTGATGATTTGAAAAATGAAATCCCTAGAAAAAAATGGAAACTCATATCAAACACAAGGCACTAAACATTTTAGGCATGAAAGACTTATCAAACAAATTAAGTATTAACAGCCATACGTGAATCTTCTCACAAATACCTTTCTAGTAAATGCATGTGTATACAGGGAATGTATGTATTGTATAGTTGCATTGGTAATTCTAAAGAGTCAAAATTTTTGCTACTTTCTTTCAAAACAGCTGAATTATATTTAAAGAAAACCAAATTTCCTACCTGGATGTAAAAAAAGACATCTAATACACCTGTGTCTCATGATTTAACAGATTAAATTTTGACGATCAGGTTAACGTATCCGAAAATAGTGAAAATGTCATCTCAAAAATGCAAGGCCACACAGTATGCTCTTCTTGTTAACTACCTATTTTGAAAGACTATTTTTTTAATTCCATTCTACAACAATATCTAAATAAGGAAACCGTTATACCCAACCCTAATTATCTTTTTCTCTGCTTAGGTAATTAAAAAAATACTGGTAAAATGCCTTGCTCAAAGATACACGTTATATTCTGCCACTGACAAAGCTAAACCTATAATCTTGAAGTGGATAGACTTTCACCTGACCATTACCTTAAATGGGTCTCTGCTTGTTCCATTAGTTCTTGCTGGTGAATGATGTTGGATATGGATTTACTGATGAGGCATGCAATGGCACAGATCTTATGAAGGTAGTGCGAGTCCTTGTCAACAGCAAAATGTTCCGGCATGCTAGGGAAAGAAGCTGCAAATCAAACCATCTCTCAGTCATTCAATGTCACCATATTTCTCAAGGAATCTCCAATGCATTACAATACAAAGGTACCTATGTTACTGGTGTAATTTCAAACTTAACAGTTCAGAGTGATAAGTACCCACTCTCCATTCTTCTCACTAACGGGAGTTTGATTCCCAGTCAGGTGACTCAGTGGGTACTCATTTCCCTTTGGGCCATGACGACCAGATTTTCATTCCCCAGTTTCGTGATCCAATGGATACCCGTTCCTCTTTCATCCATGGTGACCAGACTTTCATTCCCCATGTGACCTGATGGGTACTAGTGCTGGGAACTGGTTCTCATAATTGATCAATGGTTTCTATAATATGATCAACCACTGAGTAATAATCAGCCTATTTTGTTGATATTTATGCCAGAATTCATTATGATTATGGATATGATAATTGCTAATCTAATGTGTGTAATATGTAACTGTAAATTACCCTTGTATTGTGCTGTCTAATGTTTGTATTCCAATGTACTGTTTTTCACGATATAAACTTACAAAATAACTTATTGTTACTTATTGTTATCTATGTATTTTATATCTTTTTTATTGTTGAAGAGTTGAAAATTTATGAAATTCACAGTCAAATCATCCATTAAAATAGCAAAATTAAAAAATATTATCATAAAGGTATACCTAAACAAATCAAGATTGAGCATCTCAAACATTTATCTATAATTTTGTTCTTCATATGATAACTCACTATTATTATATTATTAATTTCTGGAAACCTAAAGTGTTTCCAAATGTATCATCTGCCTTGTTTCGGGGGATACAGTTCAATGAGGATATGCTGAATCTCCACCATTGCATGGCTGCATGTGTGATTGAAAATGGGAATTACCTCCTTTAACATATAAAACGTTCTGAGTGACATGCTAGGGCCCTAATGGCTGTATTAACTTTTCATTTTGTCATGGAATCTTCAGTCGGAATATTGCATGAAAATGTGGATATAGGCCCAGTCTTATGTTACTTATGAGGTATAGGCTTCTGACTGTTGCATCAAGAAAACATTGTTTTTCTCTTCAAACTGATCATGCCATATTTTGTGATAATTGATAAAACAAGAGTTCCCAGAGGCATCTCGATGCTCACCAATGTTTTATCTTTATATGCTCTTTGAAAGTTGGATCTTTTCCCTTCTTTTCTCCGTTTTTGCTCTTAATGATAAGACATTTGAACATTCCTTTGCAAAAATGAACGACAATCTTTCCCTGCCAAATCCAAAATGGCCACCTGGAAACCATTTTGTTTCTTCTGATCAGTCCCAAAAGCGAAAGAGCACAAGGAGAGATCAAAGGGAACATACGTCTGAAATTTGAGAGATTTCCATTCAGTACTTCAGCAGAAATAGTAATAGCAATCTTTACTAGGCAAAATCCAAGATGGCTGCCTGTTGGCCATTTTGTTTTTCTAATCAGTCCAAAACTCAAATAGGCACAACTAGGGACCTAAAGAATCCTATACATGAAACTTGAGAAAGATCTGTGCAGTAGTTCTCAAGAAATAGTGATAACAAACTTTCGAAGTCAAAATCTAAGATGTCTGTCATTTCGTTTTTGTGATCAGTCCCAAAATCAAATTGGCACAACTAGGTACCAAGGGGAACCTACATATGCAATTTGAGAAAGATCCATCTATGACTTCTCAAGAAGTAGCGATAACAAAAACTGTTTACGAACAGAGCAACGGACGACAGACCACAGACGTAGAGTGATCTGAATAGCCTACCATCATCATATGGTTGGCTAAAAACAAGAAACGTTCAATTGTCAACAAATCTGATTAATTGACACAGCACTACTTGATATCCATTCATGTTTCACCCTTGGAGACAAGACATTAATTTCTTAGGTGACCCAGTGTGTCCCTGTTCCCCTTTCACTCATGGTGATCAGACTTTCATTCCCTTATTCCCAAATTGGATGTAAAAAGGTATGTGATTATCTGCCCAACTACATAGATAATCAAACAAGAAGCCCATGGGCCTTAACGGTCATCTGACTACAAAATCTCTCATCAGGGGGAAGGGTTATTTTTTCTACTTAGAATGAAATCTTTGTAAGAAGCTGTTTTCCATGACACAGATGGCAGTTATGGTGAGGCGTAAGTAGCTGCAACAAGTGTTACCTTTTTTTTAATTGTAAAGTCAGAGCTCAGAGATACTTGAAAAGAAGTTTGAAATAGGTGTTTGCACAGGAAAACCATGATTGCACAATCATGATACAAAATGGCCTCCCTGGCTGCTGTATCAAAATTTGGACAAGGTAGAAAAATAAAAACACTCTTTGCTGCCTTTCCTTAACCTTCCCACCAATTTTTAGCTCAATGGAACAAGTGGGACTGGGGAAGATTCAAATATATTTTTCAAGACAGCGCCCATGAGGGCCATCTTGGATTTCAGACTGACCTGAAAAACTTGAGAAGAAGTTTAAAATGTCAAAAGTTTACACACGGTGCACAGCTCATGGCCCATGGTGGATGATGATGGATAAAGCATGATAACTATATGCCAAAATCAATTCATTATAAACCATGGTTGTAATAATTTTCTTTTACCAAATCCTAATTGATAGCTGACTATATACATATAATGAAACAAAAAACTTACGAATCTCTGGAAGAGCTAGCTTCTGCCTGTCAACCCTTTCACGACTATAGAGGAAGAGTTGTCCTGTGAGAATACGCTTTGGGTACTGATGGACCTCCATAGTTTGTTCAACAATTTCACACAGTTCTCTGTTGTCGTACAAGATCAGCTGTTCAACTGCTGGGATGTCTGTTTCTCGAGCTAGTACTTCTTGAAAACTGGCATATCTAATGATTGAAAAATAAATAATTGTAATGTAAAAACTTTCAAAAAGAAATAAAAAAGTTTTGAAATTTGAAAAAATCTCAGAATAAGTAAAAAGTTACCTCCATTAGACTACAGCATGGACTAATGCTCTGCTTAAATCTTGCCCATCATAATTTCTTATCATTATTACTCGAGTTGCTCCCTTTAAACTTCTAAACTTTTCCAGGGAATAAAACAATAAAGTTTTATCCAGATTGTGTTTGACACAATAGTTAATGAGTCAATTTATCACATATTTTATTTACAAGAAAAAAAAAGTTTTGAAATTTGAAAAATCTCAGAATAAGAAGTTATCTCCCTTAGACTACAGCATGGACTAATGCTCTGTGAAAAAATTTGTCCAGTTTCATATTTCTTATCATTATTACCTGAGTTGCTCCCTATCAATTTCTCAACTTTTCCAGGAAATACATAAATAGAGTTGTTTGCCCAGTTTCATATTTCTCATCATTATTACCTGAGTTGCTTCCAATCAATTTCTCAACTTTTCCAGGAAATACATAAATAGAGTTGTACTCCGAATTGTGTTTAATACAACAGTTAAATTGAGTTAATTTATAAATTTTGTTTACATTCATAACCAGGATCTAATTACAAACAGCTTTATTTAAAACCTAAACATTTTAACATGGTTGGCAGTCTGTTGCTACAGTATTTTCTCATACAATTAAAGCCAATATTGCCATGGCCATATAGACTACCTCATCAGATATCTATATGGTTTAAATAACCGAGTCAGCATTGTTTCCATTACTGGTCATTGCACATAATACATATATAGTTTGAACTTGTGGCTACCTGTCACTTTTTGCGACATATATCCGGAGGTTACATCCCGAATTGCATTCGAACATTTTGATGACCTTCATGTCAAGTATATTGTTGACAGCATTAAAGAACCGCTCAAATGTCCACCGTAATGGCAGTGTGCTCTCCATCAAGCCTGCAAGCACTGGAACTATCAGGTTCTTCAAACATCTGTTGGAAAAGAAAAAAAAGTAAATAAATTATGTAAAACCTGCCTTATCACTGAAAAACACTTCAGTTTATGATAATATGAATATTTGTCCATTTAATGAAATTAAAACTGAAATTTTGTTGGTGGTTAAAATGCATGATATACCTAGTATTTGCCTACAATAATTCCCCCTTAATAACATAAATCAAATTATAATGTATGACTCTGTGTAGAGATTAATCTATCTAGTCATACAAGTATCTTCTTCACATCCTATTTGTTTCAACACTGCCAACAAAAAATAAGAATAAATCACATTAAGAGCTAAAGAAATCATATAAAAATCATGTAACATTAATGATGTGACACTGATCAAAACAAGTGACAACAAAAAACTTCTAATCAATGCCCTATTTTATTAATTTGCGATCAATGATTGTGATTTTTTGACAATTAACAGTTATACACCCTTTTAATAATGTTTTCTACCACAAATTCTAATTTTGTTTACCACTATTCTGTATACTGAACATTTCTTTAGCAGAAATTCTAGTTCAGGTCTTTTTTTCATCTTTTACAGTATTCAATTTTAATTCATGGTTGACTGACAATGCATAAAAACTGAAAACATTGATATTTCAAACATTTTGTATATGAAGAAAGTGTTTATTAAAACATTGTAGATGACAATAGGTACATGAGCATCATAACACCATTTTTGTTTTCAGAGATACCATGAGGCAATTTGCTTTGAATGGATTTCTGTTTTACGAATTTAACATTTTCTATTGTTAATCAATTAATGTAAGTTTAAACTGAGTTACAATCAGAATAAGGTAGCAAATACTGTATGTGTCGAGAATGTACATTTGAGAATTAAACTGTCTTATGGCAATTATGGTATTTACAAATGACTATTATAAGGACCATAAATGCCATAGCATGATAGTTCAATTAGATATAAAATCAATCATCAATCCATAATTCAAATTCTTGAAGATGATTATTTTCAAAATTTGTTGGCTTTGATGGAAGGTATTGTACCTGTTTCTCTCCAAGAGGTATGCTATATTTACACTTTAGGTCTATTAATAATACATTGCATAACTACAGGCAAAATTATCACCTGTCTATGAAAACAACACCTGTCTATATTGTTCTACTATCATTCCAAAGTATCAGACATCTTCACCCAGAGATATTTAACTATTATGTAATTTGCCACATGTCCCTTCTGCCCCTTGATGTTTGTACAACTGCTTTATTCTGCAGCTGTTATATCAAACATATGACCTTGAGCAGTTACCTATTTAGAGACCTTGGGTTTTTTATAAACATCAAGCAGATCATTTCATCATATCTCATATATCATAGTCCTGTCTGGTATCTTTACAGAAGATTTGTGTACTTTTTCAAATGTTTTCACACATTTTGATTAAGAAGCCTTGAAGTTGGGTCAATGTCATAACTATTTCACCAGTTTTAACAACTCTTACAGGACTTAAATTTTCAAAATCACTAACTACAAAATTTGAAAAAGAATACATATTCCTATGATAATACTATTGTATACTCACGGTGATAGGACACAGGTTTTCGGAAGCTGACGCGAGTACTCAATCAGCCCTTCAGCAGTACGCTGAATACCTGATATCACTCCAGACTCCTTTTCCTTGGTGATACGATGCCTTTAACAATTGAATATGAAGTTTTAAAATCTTTTTCACTATAAACATTATATATTTTCCAAGGTCAGACTTACAAACGTCATTGAAAAACTCTCAAATATTTAAAGATTCTTCCTTATTTTTTGGCAGAATTTTTTCATCAAATTTGAAATTGAAATGAGAATTTTGAATAAACGTCTGAGTAAAATGTTTGAAGCAAGGAAACAAAAGGCCCAATGCACCTACAGTGTTCATCTGGTATATCAATACCAGTCAAATACCATGCCTCTAGACCTTTTACTTCATGAGAAGTCATCTAGAATTTTTAACAAATCTGACCCTGTAACCTTGAATATATGTCAAGGTAAATTCTTTTCACAAACTTTCCTAGGCTTCATACTAGGAACATACCAGCCAAGTAACAGGCCTCTAGGCTTTTCAGTTTAGGAGAAGAAGTCTTTGAAAGTTTTAACAAATCTTAGCCCTGTGATCTTGAATATAGGTCAAGGTCATTTCTTTTCACACACATTGGCAGGCTTCATCCTAGAAACATACCAGCTAAATATCGAAACATTTGGTCCATTAGTTCTTTGGTTCAAGTGAACATTGGATCTCCAACAAATCCATAACCATATATATATATTTTGCATCTGTATTTTTGAATGTACTTACATTGTGTAGGAGTTGGACCTTCCACCATGTGGCATAAACGGGAGGCGTCCTGTTGCCACATGGTACAAAGTCACACCAAGACTCCAAATATCAACATTCCCTGTAAACGTCTGACCATGATCTTTGAACTGTCTTTTCAGCACTGCTTGATTGTACATGTCCGGATCCTGTAAGGGAAAAACATATGGCAATGCTAAATTTATCAACCAACAGCAAAATGATTCCTAATTTGCCAAATGAACAATCAATAAAGGGCAATAACTCTTAAAAAGAAAGTTGGAAATTAGACATGTCAGTGTGAAATTTTCCAAGCCCAAGGGTCATAACTCTAAAAAAAATTATGTTGACTGACACAATACATAAACTTGCATAAACTCACAATATAAATAAGTGTCAATTTCAGTTCAACATTCCCATCATCCTATGAAGAAATAAACATAAACTGGAAAATGTTTTGAAAATACTCAATGTAAGGTGTCAAATGAAGCAATGGGTATTTCATAGAGGTTTTACTGTAAATTCACTACTGCTTGCAAAGTTTGTGAGTCATGATGACTCAGTGATATATATTGATCTGGCTGTGTAATAAGACTTAAGTACAGTATATTGAGTCTGTGATGAATGAAACATTCCCTGGCCTCTAAAAAGTTCAAACAAATACTTGATATGAATTGGCTGTTACCATGCATTCAATTCCATTCCTTAACATAAAATCTATACTGCATAATATAAAGGGAACTGACACAATCATATAGACATTCTTGATGCTTTGGAAAATAAAAAAAAAACCCAAAAAACCCAAAGATTTAGCAATTTCAGATAACCATGATAGAAAAATTATGTATAATTATTACAGGACAGATAGCATTTTTTGATAATTTTAATGAACAGTATTATTTGGTGAGGCTTTGTAGCAGACATGGGCTTACAGTCACATAAATATGTTAAGTTTAACTAGAGAGTGAAAATGGTACCAGGGTCCATGTTGTACAAGTCATTAGGTACTTTAACATAAACTCATGACACTGACATACCAGATAATGAGTTATCTGATATTTTTAACCATTTTCTTCAGTTATCATTAGCTTATCAGACAGACTATTGTACGTAATCTACTCAAGCTGTCACGATCAAGTATGCTATGTACCATATGTTACCAGTATGGAGCATTAATAGAATTTTCAATAAATAAATGCAATTTAGTGAAAATTTTAATAAGTGTTTTAAATAAAGCATTTTTAAACAACTAAGGAGAAGAATTTTAAGTATAGTTCATAACAAATGAACTATCAAAAACTAGAACTCATCATCACGGGGTCTTATTGTGAAATACTTCATCCTATTTCTATTGTTGTTGTAGTAGCTAAGGGACATGTAATTTCCTTTTTTAGACCATGTGACAAGTTTAAACTACTTTTGATCACGTTTATCTACAATTTTCAGCAAAAATCAATCTTATGTGGACACCTGGTTGCTTCCATACCCTGAATGTAAATGTGGAATTTGTGTATAAAACACTTTAGTCTTAATTTAGACATACATATGGTAAACAGATCAATTATGCAAAGTACATATAAAGCAACTATATATACACAAAAAAATACAGAAATGAACTTCATATTCATGTCCAAATCAAGTTAAGATATGTTTAAATAGTGTCTAAACTTGAACAGAAGGTCTGATTCTCATGATTTTAAACTTTAAATATAGCAAATTACAATTTTAATTTAACAGATTATTTTCCAATGAATAAATCAGGTATACATGCATGTCACTCACCAGGATCTTATAAAATTGTTTTCAAAGAATTTTAGAAAACTTGTTATAACTTGTCAATCCACTACAATTTTGTGGTATATTAATAACATAGGACTTCACAAGGCTAATGAGCAAATACACAAGCCTATCCCATGCCAGTGAATACAGTACAGCTTGTGTGTCATACAATTAAGTCTACTACAGTTACAGCTACAGGATATGATGTATAAATAAATATTTACAAGGCATGTTGAATAACAGCCATTATAAAGAGAAGAAATAGTTGTTAATGGTTGATTAGTTGACAGGACTTAAAGTTCAGTAAACTTAAGTTTAAGGGGGTTGACTCCATCCTAGACTTTGATAAGTCACTGATATATACATAGCATATTGATTCTCAATGGCTATGGGGCTAGCACAATACTTATGACACCAACTCAGGGAGTGGGCTTATTACAGGACATTAAAATATAATTGGTTTGCATTTTCACTTAATTGCAATATATTAGTGTAAGGGTAATAACCATGTTTGGTTATTGCCATGTGAGCAACCAGTGTTATTTTAAGGCAGGTTCTCCTTGTATAAGGTGGTGGCCGTCTAAATGAACAACATACAAGAGGCCCATCACATGCAAGGGTAAAGTGTCTAGGTAAAGGACATAACCATGTCACTACAGACCCACTTGTTTCTAGGCTTCCTCAGAAACAAACACCCAAAAACCAAAAATAGGCCAACATTCTAACATAAAGAGGTTTTGTAGGAACATTCTAACACCATGAGGTTTCGTAGGAACATTCTAACACAATGAGGTTTCATAGTAATATTCTAACACACTGAGGTTTTTTAGGAACATTCTAACACACTGAAGTTTCGTAGTAACATTCTAACACACTGAGGTTTCGTAGTAACATTCTAACAGACTGAGGATTCGTAGTAACATTCTAACACACTGAGGATTCATTGTAATTCTAACACACTGAGGATTTGTAGGAACATTCTAACACACTGAGGATTCATTGTAATTCTAACACACTGAGGATTTGTAGGAACATTCTAACACACTGAGGATTCATTGTAATTCTAACACACTGAGGATTTGTAGTAACATTCTAACACACTGAGGTTTCGTAGTAACATTCTAACAGACTGAGGATTCGTAGTAACATTCTAACACACTGAGGATTCATAGTAACATTCTAACACACTGAGGATTTGTAGTAATTCTAATACACTGAGGATTCGTAGTAACATTCTAACACACTGAGGATTCATTGTAATTCTAACACACTGAGGATTTGTAGGAACATTCTAACACACTGAGGATTCATTGTAATTCTAACACACTGAGGATTCATTGTAATTCTAACACACTGAGGATTTGTAGGAACATTCTAACACACTGAGGATTCATTGTAATTCTAACACACTGAGGATTTGTAGGAACATTCTAACACACTGAGGATTCATTGTAATTCTAACACACTGAGGATTTGTAGGAACATTCTAACACACTGAGGATTCATTGTAATTCTAACACACTGAGGATTTGTAGGAACATTCTAACACACTGAGGATTCATTGTAATTCTAACACACTGAGGATTTGTAGGAACATTCTAACACACTGAGGATTCATTGTAATTCTAACACACTGAGGATTTGTAGGAACATTCTAACACACTGAGGATTCGTAGTAATTCTAACACACTGAGGATTTGTATGAACAATCTAACACACTGAGGATTCATTGTAATTCTAACACACTGAGGATTTGTAGGAACATTCTAACACACTGAGGATTCATTGTAATTCTAACACACTGAGGATTTGTAGGAACATTCTAACACACTGAGGATTCGTAGTAATTCTAACACACTGAGGATTTGTATGAACAATCTAACACACTGAGGATTCATTGTAATTCTAACACACTGAGGATTTGTAGGAACATTCTAACACACTGAGGATTCATTGTAATTCTAACACACTGAGGATTTGTAGGAACATTCTAACACACTGAGGATTCATTGTAATTCTAACACACTGAGGATTTGTAGTAACATTCTAACACACTGAGGATTCATTGTAATTCTAACACACTGAGGATTTGTAGGAACATTCTAACACACTGAGGATTCATTGTAATTCTAACACACTGAGGATTTGTAGGAACATTCTAACACACTGAGGATTTGTAGGAACATTCTAACACACTGAGGATTCATTGTAATTCTAACACACTGAGGATTTGTAGGAACATTCTAACACACTGAGGATTCATTGTAATTCTAACACACTGAGGATTTGTAGGAACAATCTAACACACTGAGGATTCATTGTAATTCTAACACACTGAGGATTTGTAGGAACATTCTAACACACTGAGGATTCATTGTAATTCTAACACACTGAGGATTTGTAGGAACATTCTAACACACTGAGGATTTGTAGGAACATTCTAACACACTGAGGATTCATTGTAATTCTAACACACTGAGGATTCGTAGGAACATTCTAACACACTGAGGATTTGTAGGAACATTCTAACACACTGAGGATTTGTAGGAACATTCTAACACACTGAGGATTCATTGTAATTCTAACACACTGAGGATTTGTAGGAACATTCTAACACACTGAGGATTCATTGTAATTCTAACACACTGAGGATTCGTAGGAACATTCTAACACACTGAGGATTTGTAGGAACATTCTAACACACTGAGGATTTGTAGGAACATTCTAACACACTGAGGATTTGTAGGAACATTCTAACACACTGAGGTATGCAGACCCCCATCCCATCATGGCTTATTACTAGCCATGAACTGAAATGCTTATACATATGACCACACTCCATATTTTATAATTCTCTATTGTTGTAGGCATGATCTATTCATCATTCATAGATATTAGATGTGTGTCATTTCCCTTTGACAATAGCTTACATTTTTTTAATGGTATATAATAGAATCACAGATTTGTTATCTGTTTAGAAGAGTGAGTACTGTACTTCTTGGTAATACATTAACCTTATGTTAAAGGAAGATGAATCATGCTTTCTTTAAAACATCGCCACATTAATAAGATGCAGACAGGAAGTGTTTTTCCCGAAGCAGAAATAATTATACTAATCATGCTCAAACTGATACTGCTTTTAAGGCTATTGATGAAAATTTATAAGGCATTACACAATTACGTAATAGGCCTTTTTAGTGGGGGTTGGAAGGGGGTGGGGGGTGTGGGGTGTGGTGTGTGGGCGGGCATCAATAGCTTTTCTAAACATTAAATGCTAAAACAAAATGTTCACTACAAGTACTTTTCTGTAATGGTAAACCACATACATTTCTGGAAAACAATGCTAATGAAAAGGTTTATTAATAATTATCAATGTTTTCATGGTATCCTGGTTACTTTGCATTAATAATTATAGCGATAATGCAATATAACTTTAAAGCAATTAATTCTAACCAGGTATTAGTAAGAATACATTCTTGGTGACAGATAGCCAGAATGTTGCCTGTTAGCAGATCATTTTGCAAACTTGGTAATCTTATATGGTATGGTGTTTGTTTGGCAATAACCTTATTCTGTCATAGTTTTAAATGCAAATTTGATGAAGAATGTATTATACAAAAGGAAATTTTCAACTGTGTTCAGCACTCAAGTCCATTAAAGGTTGTGTAGAAAACAGAGCCATCTGGCTACACTTGGAATAAGTATCATGGTTTAGAAAATCCCTAAACTGAACTGCAATTCATATACAGAATACTGTTTTGTTTAAGTGAAATCGCAATCTTTCTTTTGTTAATTATCACTTACTAGATACTCTTCTGTGCCATATATAGATGTGAATTCTTCCTTTTCATCAACTTTTTTGGCGGCTCCAAAATCGGTCAGTTTGTAGATTGAACTGAAAAGATAAATACAATCCTAGTTTTTATTTGTTTTTTTTTTAAGACAAGAAAATAAGATGAATATAAGACCATATATGCATCACCTTCCCCATGTTTTCCAAGACCCAGATGTACAGTAACATATTTAAAACATTGGGAAATCTGAGTTCAGCCTATAGATATATAATTGTTGACACCTAGCCCAGCATCAAAAGCCTTGCAGTTTTGTTTAATGTTGCTGTATGCCCTATCAAAATATAAAGTCATTTAAGGCTGAGCCTAGTTTGCAGTTGGAAGAAACCCAGTGTTCCCAGAAAAAAACAACGACCTGTGGCCACTACCTGACAACCCAAGAAGTTGGGAAGGTGACCCCATACCTTTTTCAAATCCATGTCAGGAATTGAACCCCCGATGGTTCAGTAAGGTGTATGCCTTACCATTGTGCCACCCAACCCTTTGTATGACCCTATGGTTCCATGGATACAATACAAAATTGTGCACTGTATGATCAATTTTACGCTAGATAGAAATTGTTAATTCCTTGAATTTCTTTTATCATTTTGCCCCCCAAAAATCTATCATATGTGTATCCTTGGACTCACAAGTCATGAATAGGGCCATAAGACATATATCTGAGGGAGACTTCTGATCCACAAGACCCTAAATTTATTTAATCTTACTTGCTCATAAGTACATAAAACCTTAGCAGACACTCCCTGTCCCCGTTCCCTGGCCCATTAATAGAAATTCCAACAGATATTTATAAACATCAATCAATTCTGATAATTCTATCACATTTAAAAACTATTACATGAATGATATCCATTTCCTTTATCTATTTTTATTTTTAAATCTGAAAGCATTTCCTAACTACAAAGTTTAGATAAACTGTAAGAAACTGACACTTCAACCTGCAGGCTTATATACATCTGAATTTTACGCTTTATAATGGTCCTTGCCCTTACTGCACAGCTATTTATCATATGTTTAGAGAAAGCATCTGGGTGTGTATATACAAAATGCGCCTACATAACTTCAGTAATTATGGATATCAGGATAACATTTACAGCCGGATGTGGTAACCGTAGTACATCTGTATTTACATAGGGATGGCCTAACAGAATAAAAAAAAAATTCCATAGCAACTCCCATTTCTGAGAAACTAAACATGTAGATCAATGTGGTTTTTCTAGACATGGATTAGATCAGTGCACATTTTGCCACAAATATGTTCAACATTCTGAGAAACCTTTTTATCTTATCAGACGAAGTTCTCCCCTGAAGTGCACATTAGCTGTAAGGAAATACGGGAATATTTGGTCAGGTATTACATCATGAATGGTCTCCCTTCTCGACAATCTACCTTAAAAACAGCCAAACATGATGATGTCATTGTCTGACTTTGTGACCTTCTATAGTGATCAAGCCAAGGCAGATTTTTTCAAACAAATATCACTGGATACTCTAAGTTCAGCCACATTAATTTTCCATGTTGGCATTGCATTTTGAATTCGCCGAGATGCCTTGCTTAATTCAAATTTAGATGGGGTAGAGCAACTGTGATGTTGCTGGATGGTCATAGCCAAACTGCAGTTGCACAGCAGTTTGGCATTGCCCCATCTACAATTAACCATCTCTATACATGTTTCCACACTGCTTGGTTAGTTTCTAATAGTCCCAAGAGCAGTCGTCCGTGTGTAATGACAGCATGACTAGACAAGGTTATTCGCTTGTTGCTCTTACTGCTGTAGAGACTGCGTTGCATACCTTATTTACTAATGGCAGACCCATTAGTGCTTAAACTGCAAGGAATCACTTGCATTCACAGAGAATCATTGCACAACGACCTCATGTCGGGTCACCTCTGACACCACAAAGTGTTTTGACTGGATGGGCAGTCATGGCCCGAATAGGTTTGAGATACATCAGTGGAGGCATGTAATGTTCACTAATGAGTCTAGATTCTGTCTTTGTCGCTCAGACGGAAGAAGATGTGTATATCACAGATACAGTTTGTGTTTTGCTGACACATATGTGGTTGAAAGCGATAGGTTTGGTGGGGCTTCTGTAATGGTTTGGGTAGGCATCTCCTATGGGGTAAAATCCCCCTTAGTGGTCCTGGATCCAAACCTCAATGCTATTTGATACAGAGACCAGATCCTCCAACCATGTCCTTCTACTTCTTGGACATCATAACCTAATTTTCCAGCAAGACAATGCTCGACCGCATGTTGTCAGAGTCTGTTGTGATTTTTTCCAGGCAAACAACGTTCAGCATCTGGAATGGTCTCCATATAGCCCTGACATAGGCATATTAGGAAGTGTCAAAACCCTCCAACTAACCGCACCCAGCTGATTGTGACATTGACACAGGAATGAAACATTCCCTTAAGGTGAATTCGTGTTCTCATGATTCAATGCATAGGAGAATCTGTGCAGGGATTAGTGCAGGAGTTGCCCACACCAGATATCAGAGTGTCATTTTGTTTTTCACAAGCATCCTAAAGCTTTGAGTAACTACTGATGACACAAGTGATGTCACCAAGACTTTTCTTCTACAGTATTATGAAAAGTAGACTTGTCCCTTCACATTGATATAAAATTTTGTACAAATTACCCAAAATTTCATAGGCTTTGATTGCATAATTTAACTGTGGGTTTCTGTTTTTGTTGAGTATATGTTCCCAGTAACAACTGAAGTAATCATTTCAAGACAAAATAAAACAGAAATTTACCATGATAATTAAAGTGGTGTAGAATCCATCCATTTAAAACGTAATCAATATTATGTAACAAGTCAGTACGTGCTATGTCATGAAGTCTTCCATACTTGTGTAACCATTGATTATCACTAAAAAAACTATTGCAATATAAATCAGGACCAGAGTATATCGACATCAAGCATGATGAAAGGAGAATACACAATAACCATAGACGGAAGCAGACAATATGTATGACGCAATGTTGCTAGGTAATGTGTGTACTTTGGCCATGTGTATGACACAACTGTGCCTTATCATAGCTGAAAAAAGGACTGCTGCAATCTATCAAGTACACCTTAAAATAACCCTGTATACCTGATATATTATCACATGAATGCTTTAATGTTGGAATGACGTAATTGCATGTAATCAAGTCTCATTGTAAATGAATAAAGGCATGTTATGAGCTCACACCCACTTGCGGGACTTGAGAAGATGGTGAAAAATAGTTATTGAAGTGGAAAACCATAATTGTTAAATCATGTTCCGCTTTTGTTTGTTAGCCCACATGTAAGGCATACAAAGAGTGGGAAAACAACACCAGGGGAAAATCCACAAGGTCAGGCAGGTAACCCCCTACTTGTTCACATTCATTCTGTTACTAGACAGGTTAACAATTATTATACACGAAAAAGTATTCAGTCTCAAATGTATAACAAGATAGGTCTTAATCAACGGTCACCTGAGGTCTTCAAGTCTTTCGACAGTTTTAGAACCTGTCCATCAGTCCCAGTATTGAAGCAGAACTGATAAATGAATAAAGTTTTTATTGTTCTCAGTTTGAAAGTGAATTTTCCCTTTACCAAAACATGCTACAGACCAATAAAACAAATCTGGGCCTCTTGGATACAAAGACATTAAAAAATTTTAGTATATTTGAATAAAGGTAAAGGTCATCTAGTTTGCCAAACTTGGTAACCCATTCACCCCTAGCATCCTGCAGACCCAACATCTGGTTTCTGTATATCATAAAGAAGTTGTTTTAAGATTTTGCCATATTTGACCCCTATGACATGGAGTAAATATCAAAGTTATTTATTTCAACAAACTTGGTATACTTTCATCTTAACATGCTCTCAGCCTAAAATCAAGACTCTGGGCGGGCCTCATAGTTATTGAGAATTTTTCATGTAATTTTCATGTATCTGACATCTATATCTATAACCTTGAAAGAAGGTCAAGGTCATTAATTTGACCAAGCATGCTATGGGCCCTAAGGGCTTTTATATTTGAAAAGTCGAAAATGTAAATTGTTTAAGACCCACAACACTGGACAAAAGGTGATCACAACATTATGAGGTCAAAATTGCCTTTCTTCCCAGGGACACATTACAAACAATCAGTACTTTAATGGTTAAATATACATGTGTTAATTATGTATAAAAATGTTTCAATGTGTATGTATGTGAACACATCCTCAACAAACACATTAAGGAAGATTATACTTGTATTTGATCCTCAATGATTTCCGATGGGCATTTTAAACTGAAAGTTACAATGAACGGTGATAAGTTATTGATGTAAGAATAATAGGATCTCGAGATTATGTTTTAATTATCAATTGTGATATCTTACATTGGTATTAGCCTAGACTTCAGTGTAGTTAATTTCAGGGCCAAGAACATTATTTCACAATTACTATATTTTCTAAAACAGCATTGTGCTCATTACCCAATAGATTATATAGAATAAGTATAACATTTTTACACCAGTGAGTAATCAAAGTACTGAAAGTACTGAAAGGCTAAACGTATTGAAAAATGTTCACAAATAACCGCAAAGCTATATTACTTTCCCCATTCTCCTACATTTTGGAATGCAAAAATTACTAAAATAAGAGAACCAGAGGCTATTTTTCATAATTTTATGCGATTTTATATTTTCTTTAATTCTTATTTCAAATTTGACGACAATTATGTGAACAAATCAAAAAAGTAAAACAAAACAACAAAAAACAAAATACACACAACCATATATTTATTGCCAACAAGCCAAATGATAAATAGCTCTATGATGAAGTTGACTAAATAAAACCTTTGAAATACCCAAGATGTTGCAATTACTTTCCTATCAATATGAGGATATAGACAAATCGAAAGGACTTTATACCTACTTCTTCATTTTGAATGTATTGCAAAGTAATAGTCCTTACTTATTATAATTATATTTGTAGTTGAAGAAAGTAGATAAGGTGTACACAGCATTTCAGATAGATTAAAGTGTAAGTAATTACATTAAATGTATTTACATGACTA